GAGCCTCTAGGAGAGGGTGCGAGTTAAGTGCCCTTTAGGGCTCAGCACTCCGCGGTCTCATATTCTCAATACCAACCAGCCATGGGTCTCAGTGTTAATCATCCATTGTTAGAAGAACCTTCTCTGATGAGGGCTGAGAGATGCATTGATCTATGGGTATAAAAATAAGTCATTATTACTCAGTTTAATACTATGTCTACTTAGCAGAATGATAGTACTAGGGTTCTCCTCTATGGCCTGTGACCTGTCTAGCCAAAGGTTCTTCTGTTTTTATATGTATTTATACATGTCTATACTCATAATTTAATAAAAATTTACATGTTATATATTACCGATAGCCTGTGCTTAGTCATTTGATCAGTTTTACACAGATACGAATTAAACATAGACACTGTATATATGGATATATATCAATATATATCTATTCTATATATACCACTATATATGAATATACAAACATATATAAATGTATGTTCTGTGGCTTAATGAAGGTTACTGTCTGCTGGGGAAATATGGAACTAACATAGCTATATAATTTCAAGATTTGAGTTTTATGATGGGGAAATGTGCCATGAGAGTGACGGTAAGTAGTCCAACTTTAGATGTTCAGAGCTGCAGTACTGACATTCAAGCATAAATTCAGAGGGTGAAAAATAGACATATAATATTGGAATTAGCATTCTAAGAGCTAGCACATGCAATGTCTCTAAGCTAAGAAAGAGTTTGATGTGTCGAGGTGTCTGAAAGAGCAACAGACAGCTGGACCAAAGAAGAGGCTAGGATGCTTGCCCAGAATGAGGTCTGAAAGCATCAGTCACATTTCTTATTCTGCAATAAGACACCTGACAAAAGTGATTTAAGAAAGGAGGAGTTTATTTTTGCTGAGAGTTCAAAGAATATAGCCCAACACAGTGGAGAAGGCACAGCGCCAGGGGCAGGAGGTGGCTCACATCACACCCACAGCCAGGACGCAGAGAGCAGTGAATGTCTGTGCTCAGCTCACGTTCTCACTGTGTTTTTGTTCAGCCTGAGTCTCCAGCCTGTAGAATGGCTCTATCCACAGGAAGGGTGGGTTTTCCCACCTCAATTTCCCTAATCTGGAAAAAATCTCACAGACATGTTCAGAGGCTTGTCCTAGAGCCTGTTAAGTTGACAGTCACTATTGACAGTTGATTCCTGGTGGCCCTGAGTTAGGGAAAGTGCCAGGACTTTGGATCCCATTGCCCATTATTCTCTGAGGTCAGAGATTGTTCTAGATCTTGGAAAAACAGGAAGAAAACAAAACCAAAAGTAACCGATGAGGAGAAATAAAATGATGAACTAGAAATGAAAAACAAACAAATAATAATGATTAATAAATATGATTAATAAATCTTTAGTCAAATTAACCAAAAGAGAGGGTTCAAAATAATGAAATTAGAGAGAAAGGGGAGATTTTAAAACAGATAACAATGAAATTCAGAAAATTATAACTTAAATTTTATGTTAATCTAGATTAAGAAATATAAAAGAAATGGATATATTTCTAGATGAATATGGCCTAGCAAAGTTAAACCGATCAAAAAATTAAGTTAAACAGAACAATGAAATTGATGTAATAAGGGAAAAAATTTCCAAAATGATAAAAGCCCAGGTCGAGATGAATTAACCACATAATTCTACCAGAGTTTTGAAGAACCAACGCCGGTAGTTCCAAATTATTCTATAAAATAAAGAAAATTTCAAACTCTTTTTATGAAGCCAGTATTATCCTGATACCAAACAGATAAAGACACAAGAAAGAAAGAAAATTATAGACCAGTCTTCCTAATGAACATTGACTCAAGTGTTCTTAATAACACACTTAAAAACTTAGTTCAAAAACACATAAAAAGATCAATGATCATGATCAAGTTGGCTTTATTCTGGAGATGCAGGAATGGTTCAACATATATAAAGCAATAAATATAATTTTATTTCACAGGTGGACTCACCACATTCCACCCTCTCCACAAAAGGTCTCACAGAGCAACACGCGTTCAGTCCATCTCTGAGCCCCCCAAAGAGTTCCAAAGCTTTAGTGCCAAGTTCAAAGGCTCCTCTGCGATTCAAAGCAAGATGAAGCTGAGCCTCTGAGAGGTCAAGTTACATAATTCCAAGATCCAGTGGCATCCAGTAATTATTCCCAAGTGGAGGGAGAATTAGGGGAACTGCCAAGAAGGGTCAGCCCAACTCAACACAAATGCCAGAAGAGAAAACACTGAACTCTGCAGCTCCATGCTCCACATGCAGAGCACGGGTGGGCTCAGGTGGATTTGGGTCGTCTCCCCTTCCACATGGCTTCAGTCTTGGGCTGGTCATTGTATCTGTAGGTTTCTTGGACAGATGTCCCACACTTCTGGCAGCCAGGAGTGCCCTGTGCTCTTTAGGCCTCACGTTCACAGCCTCACACATTACCTTTCCGGAGGATCTTTACAGGGAATCTGGCCCAGATGCACATTACCTGGCCCCAGCTTTTCCTCTGAGGTGTTGGTGGAAGTCTCCATGACACTATTGTTCTTGCATTTTGCGTGCTGTGACGTCAGCTCCACGCTGAGGACTCTACATAGTCTGCCTCCAGCTCAGCAGCAGCCAAGTCCGCGCAGACCTGACTCTGAGCATGTGGACATCTGGCCCCAGGATGACCTTCCATAGGTGACCCCTTATGGGCAGTGTGGCTGGGAGGCTCTCTTAGGGAAATGAGTTTCAAATGAACTTTTCTACATGGAGCCTCTGGCCTGCTCCTGAGATGCCTTCCAGGCATTATTGCTGCCGTCCCCATACAAAGAATGTGGCTTCTTTTCAAACGTGCTAATATTGGAGATGTGATGCCCCGCTTGCCCCCTTTTCTGGTCAGAAGGCATATTTTTCAAATCTTTTTGATTTTTTTTCCTTCTCTTGAATCTTACTATAAATCTGGCTTAAAACAGTCATCAAAACATTAGTACACACCTCTAATCCCAGCCCTCTGGAGTCAGCGGCAGCTCTGTGAGATGGAGAGGTGGAGGCCAGCCTGGTCTACATAGTGAGTTCAGTCAGGCTGGGGCTGCAGAGAGACCTTGTCTCAAAAACCCAAATCAGATGAACAAACAACAATAACAACAACAACAGCAACAAAAACCCAAAAGCCCAACCTTGTCATCTTGGAATTTAATTAGTCCATTATTTTAAAATTCAGTCTCACTTAGGGCAGAGCCTCTAATCCAATTCCCAGTACAGTTCTGAGGGCATCTTAGGACCCAAGTCTTAGTGTTCGCATTTCTATCAGCATTCTGGTCTCCTGGGCTCCCACCAGAGTCACGAGTTAAGGGTGATTATAATATTGTAGGGCTTCTTTAACATGTATCTCTAAACTCTTCCAAAATCCTGCCACAAACGAGTTTTAAAGGCCAAGAAGCCCGTGTCAGGTTTAGTTACAGCAACAGCCTAGTTTCTATGCCGTTAGTTTCCTGTGTTAGTTTTTTAATGTGTATGAGTGTATTTCCTGAACATATATATAAGTGCTCCACATGTGTGCAATGCCTGCGGAGGCCAGAAGACAGCAGTGGAGCCTCTAGAACTGGAGTGTTAAGATGCCATGCTGGGAATCAAACCTTGGTCCCTGCAAGAGCCTCCCAGGCTCTTAACTGTTGAGCTGCCTCCCCGGCTCCAGCCATAGTTATGTTTTGTTTCGGTGACCACAGTACTTTCCATGAACAACCTAAAGCAGGAAGGCTTTTTCTTTGGCTCACGGATGGGAAAGACATGTGGAGCAAGATGTTCATACCATGGCTTTCAGTAAACAGCCAAAAGGGATGTGGGCAGGCGGGAAGGGCCGGGATACAGTATCTCCCAACTCCCATCTCTGGTGTCTCAATTCCCCCAGCTCGGTTCACTTCCTAAGTTTTCCACAGCCTCTCAAAAATCATGTGACCAGCTGGAGACCAACCTTCTAATCCATGAGCCTTTGGGGGGACACTTCTTATCCAAGCTTGGGTTACAGTTTGTCAGCAATATTGGTCCATAATATAAAATGTTATTCAATGGCATGAACTTTTGTTAGTTCTTGTGAGGAGATGGCTGGCACAACCCTAATAATTACTTTGTCATAAGTATTTTACATCATAGTATTATCATCAAAGTTTGAGAAAGCATCTGACCTTCACACTGAATGGATTTGCATGATTTTTCCATTTTCCTATTAAGAAGATAACATTTCCTGAAAATATTAAAATTGATTCTCTGATAAGACTGCTTGGTTGCATAATGGTATTCACAGCTAAGGTTAAAATTCTCTCATTATGATGACAGCTGGAGAGGAAGCATAAAAGCTAAGGATAAAAGGAGCTGGGCTGTTTGTATTTGTACCATATTAAGGGCTCTGGCCAACAGCTTTCCTTCACATGCAAAGACCCAGTGTGTGCTTTGTTTCCTGGCTTCTACTTCCCTGAAATGGAGGACTTATTTTTGTAGGCGTATCAAAAAAACAAACAAACAAAACAAAACACAAGAATGGTATCTCATTGTAACATGCAGATCTAAATAAAATAAGACTGGAATGGATGACGAGAAAGGGTTCCTTAAAACACGGGTATCAACCCTCATCGTGTAAGCACTATTTTCTATAAAAGTTGAGCATGTGAATTATGAGTATTTGACCCCTCTAATTACGAATGTGTGTTGATTGGCTGGCTTCTTAGGAAAGTATTTTATTTAAAAGATTAAATTTAATATATACATGTCTTCTTTTGATTAGAAAGGGAATTAGATTTCAAGTTAACAGCAGATCCCTTCTGTTTTGCAACTTGTTATTCGAGAACCCAGGGTTCACATTTTACTTCCCTGAGTGAGTAAAGTAGTGATTTGCTCCTTAAAAACTTATTTGATTAAGTCACTGGGTATTTGTTGTTTATGTTTTAAGGGATCTATGTTAATACTGTGTACTAAGACATCACCATGTAAGGTTTGGTTTTAAGCTTTCTCTTTTCTGTTTCTGTCTATAGTTTGGAAGAACTGAAGTGATTGATAATACCTTAAATCCTGATTTTGTAAGGAAATTTATCCTGGACTATTTTTTTGAAGAAAGAGAGAATCTTCGTTTTGACTTGTAAGTTCTACGAAAACATGACATTTAAAACAATTGACTTTTAAGGATTGAGTGAGTAGCACAGCTGGTTGCCTGAGGGCTAGGCTGCTCTGCGCAAAGCGGCCTTGCACTGCATTTGGGGGATTTTCGGCTGTATGTTTTGAACAGGTGAGTAGACACCACAGATATGCTGGGGAGTGCAGGTAGGCTCTCTCTCAAACCCACCTGTACCCCAATGGGTTCCTTCAAGCTCAGTGTACTTCACGAGAACACATCCAGTTAGTGATGGCTGTTACGCCTCTCCTCCAGGCTTGTTAGCCCAACACTGAATCTCTGTCCTGTGATGGCTTCCCTTGATCCCTTGATGTCGTCATGTTTTTAAGACCCAGGGTGGTAGAGCTAACATTTGTAGTATTTTGTGTATTTTTCTTATTTTGATGTGGAATCAAACATTTTAAAGTATGATCGTCAAACTCAACTTCCTGTCAGCTGAGAGCATGGAAGCAGTTTGTTTCTAAGGTGCTATTGGTTACACATCAGTCTTTGTTCCACAGTGGAAGCTGGGGGACTGGGCAGACCTGCACTCTGGTAAAGGGAAATCTCCTGGGGGAGCCATAAAGAGATGCACATTTATATATAATATGACCTATATAATATAGTATAGGATTTTCCTTGTACATCAAAATATTGAATGTTTATGAATATCACATATATTTAAAAAATTCAACACTTTCTTTAAACCATTGGAAAATCATGACAGTATTTATATGTATTTTTTAATAGCAGGTTATTAATATCTTATTTGAAAGAGTCTTAATTTTTCTCCTAATAGAAATATAAGATCTTTGCTTAATTACTCTAATTTTTCTCTGGAATAGAATAAAATAACCACTAATGCTTCTGTTTAAAAAAAGTACTGTAACAGCCCTTATTTTTCTTTTTTTTAATGTTGTATTTATTTATTTTTTATTTTATGTGTATTGCCTGCATGTGTGTAAGTGCACCAGTGTGGTGCAGTGCCTGCAGAGGTCACAAGAAGGTGTTGGATTCCCCTGGCACTGGGGTTACAGATGGTTGTTAGCCACCATGTGGGTCCTGGGAATCGAACCTAGGTCCTCTGCAAGAGCAGTCAGTGCTCTTAACCTCTGAGCTATCTCTCCAGCCCCACAGCCCTTTTCTTTCCGAGTGCTAGGCATTCATTGTACTTATCAAACAAAATTTATTATGTATTTCTCAAAATCCTCTTTCCAAATAATAAAATGAGTTAAAGAGAGGCAAACCTGGAGCTTACTGTAACGACTTACAACCATACAAGACCATGGAGGCCACAGGGCTGTTACTTTAAACTTAGTGAAAGTCATGCGGTGTGTGGCTCTGTGCTCCACTTGGCTTCCTTCTGCTCTGAGCTGCAACTGTAACCACTTTTGTTTTCCTTCATAGTTGCCCCTAGTTTCCTCTAATTTTATCCTAAAATCAGCCACTATTTTATAATTCTCTTTTCTTTCTCTCTTTCTCATTTATTTACATTATTTTCTCTCATTTAAGAAGCTGTAGAAATGATTCCTGAAAGAATAGTCTTTATTTTCTCTCATTTAAAAGTAATGAATATCTTTTTTTTTTTTTTTTATTTTTTTGAGACAGGGTCTCCCTGTAGCCCCTGCTGGCCTGGAACTCACTGTGTAGACCAGCCTGGCCTTGAACTCACAGAGATCGGCCTGCCTCTGTATCCCGTCCCTTCCCCCGCCCCCAGGCGTTGTAATTAAAGGCATGTGCCACCACACCCGGCCATGAGTATCTCTTATAGACTTTAAGTCATGCAAGTATTTGAAAAGAAACCTCTGTTACCCCAATTTAAAAAAAATCTATAAATGATTCATTTTATGAATTGTTACATATTTTTCTGTAAACATCTCTATATATAGACACATTATGTATATATCACACGTGTGTGCATGTAGGAATTGTAATAAATTTATTTCCTTGTACCTTTCTTTTTCACATATTTTTCTTTTCTAAAAAAATATTTGTTATTTTTATTTTATGTGGATGCATGCATTGCCTGCATGTAGGTAACTGCACCTGTGTTGTGCAATCCCACAGAGGACAGAAGAGGGCGTAAGATTCCCTGGAACTGAAGTTACAGACAGTTGTTAGTCACCATGTGGGTGCCAGGATTCAAACACGAGTCTTCTGCAAAAACAGCCAGTGCTCTTAACTGCTGAGCCATCTCTCCAGCTCACTATTTTTTCCACATATTTTTCTGTGCTATGGAATATCTGTTCATTTATTTTTAAGGATACATAATTTTTACTGTTGGAATAAAATAACATATAACTTACTGGTTCCAGTTTTACATTATAATCCTGTAGGGTTATTGCTGTGTACAGCCCTTTGTAACAGATGTGTTACTATCATTTTTAGGAGACATCAGCATTTTTAGGAGATAAAGGAGGCACATTTCTTGATAAAAGGAAATGCATCAGACCACCCATATCTGTTCTAAGTCCTTGAGAGGAGCTTATCTCACCATCTTGTTACTCCTCTGAGCTCTGTTCTCTTAGCTCTGCGGGTTAAAACTGGGGCTTTGGCTGCTCTTTGCTGACTTGTGATGGTGACAGCTTCTGCGCCTCTTCCCTAGGTTCCTGTCCTGCTCATCACCCTTCCCTCATGGTCATTGCTGTGTCTGTTTCAGGAACATTTATCCCAGTGTGACAAGAAGATACAAAGTTACATAAACTAATGTCTGTAAATGGGTACACTGGAACTTCTTGACTCCCTAGAGAGAACTGTTCTCACAGACACCAAGTAATACTTAAATTGTGCAACAATCTGAAAATGAATTTAAAAAGCACGTTTTGCCCTGAATGTTTTGTGTTAATTAAAAAAATCTGATTCAGATAACATCTCCAGTTTTATCTACTTGAAAAATTAAAACAACTAGGACTGGAAAGGGTTAGCTGCAGAGGATCAAGGGAGCAGTCGGCCCTCTCAGTTTCTGTAGAGCCCTTGGCATCACTTCAGTTCCTTTTGATTTCTTTTACTGGAATATTGAGATTTTTTTTTATGTAAGTGAGATAAGGAAGTCTTTCGATAGTTACACATACACATAAACATATTATACATGTGATTGCTTTTAAAATTTCCCTTAGCCCTGTATTACTTGTAAAAATATATGTTCATTTTAGAAAATAAGAAATGGATAAAGTAACCAATGAAAATCACCTGTGCTCCCAAGTCCCATCACACAGAGAACTGCCATGCTCCAGCATACTGACACTGACTGCAGGTGACCAGTGTAAACTGGCTAGCAAATGGCTGCAAAGGACTCTGGATTGTTTTGGGTTTAGTTGATTCATGCTGATGTATTTGTTGGTTTCTCTTCTTGTTGTTGTGACTGAATAGGCAGGAATACACCTGGGGTGGGGGTGCTTTGTTTGGACTCACAGTTCAGAGCAGTGCAGTCCATGGTGGTGGAGAAGTGTGTTGGCAGGAGTGCCTTGGTCATGATACTGACTCAGGCAGAGATAAGCAGTGAATGTCTACACTTCTCTTCACTCTTTATTCAGTTGAGGACCCCAGCCCATGCGATGGTGCCACCTGCACTCGGGAGGGTCGTCTCTCCTCTTACTCAAGTCTCTTTAGTAAATCCCTCAAAAGCACATGTGGAGGTGTGTCTCCTAGGTGATTCCCAACCCAGCAGAGTTGATGATGAGGACCAACCAACACAACTGATTTTAGAGAAATAAAGAAAGCTAAGTAAGACATGGCTTTAAAAGGAGAGCCTCTAAGGCTGTGGGGACAGCTCAGTGGCAGAGCACTTGCTTGGTGTGTACGAGGTCCTGACACCCCAAAAGAAAGCATATTATCTAAGCAACTACATGTAACGGAAGACCTGAAGGCAGCTTTCCACAATGTTTTTATTTAATTGAAGTTCACAGGGAAAGAAGGAGGAGAAAGAAAAGGAGAAACGGAGAGACAGAGAGACAGAGAGACAGACAGAGAGAGAGAGACAGAGACAGAGATTGTATTCTTGATGCCACTGATCCAAATTATCATCATTCTAGTTATCACATGGTAACTTTTGTTCTTATTGATATATATATATATATATATACATATATATTTAACATGAGTTTATCAGTTTTGCATCTTAATATTCTCTTGTCTCCTAGATTTAATGTAAAATTATTTTACTAATGTAAAATTATTATTACTTACACACTGATAATATAGTTATCTCATAAATACACTTTGTCACTGTAGTTGAAAATTGCAGTATTGGCAGAAAGAGCACCATAGTGTTTTTGAGCAGGGCATGTAGACACTGTCACGTATGAGAAGAACTCAGAGGACTCTTTCTATCCATTTGTTTCCATGGAGACCTAAACTCTGAAAAGGGTTCCTTAGTCTACGTCTGACCGACCCAGCCAAGTGCTCCTTCCTTACTCAGTCAGGCATTGGTAACTGTGAAGTGTGCAATGCTGTTGTGCCCTTGCTGGGAAGGATTTCTACATTTTGTGAGAACTAAGTTGCTTTTCCTCCAGTTCTCTGCCTGTTGCAATTCTCTTTCTGGTCGAGGGTTTTCCTCAATGGGACGTTCTCATTTCATTTCACTTTTGTTTATTAGAACTATCTGTTGTCAGATGACCTTTAGTTAAAACTTGCTTTACTTTCCTCTCAGAACTGAGAGGGAGTAGCCCAAGGGATTTCTAGGACAGAGGGAAGGACAAGAACAAGAGAGTATTGTAAGCATGAGGTGGGTTTCTTACCTAAGTACCAGCATCGAGGGCACATTGAAAGCATCCTGTTTATCTTCTCCTCGTGAGAGAGGCACCCAGAATGAATCAGCTCTGTGTTCCTTAGCTCTCTAAACACTTCTAGAACTTTGCCGTGATGTTCTCTTGCATTGGAGCCCTCAGACTGCATGTTCTGTTTCTGCCTAGGGTGCCGGATTTGTCCTGCACTTCTCACAGGCATCCCCGATTTTGAAGCCTCCACCCTGTGGTCTTGGGGAGTGGAAAGAATCTCCCTTTTGGCTTTTCACAGGGATGCCACAGCTTGTCACCTTCGGAACCCTGGGCTGGTCACTGGGCCATGGACCGATTTGAGCTATTGATAGCTCAGAGCCGAGCATGATGAGATACTTAGAATGAGAGGCCACTTTGGGGGATAGTTGCAATTCTATAGATATGGAAGTAATTCCAGTTAACGTATGTTCCTCTTTAACAGAAAATACAGTTTTTAAGATCTACCAACTCATTACTCATTATCAGTTTCAATAGCAGGAAGAAGTTACTGACTCAGCACCCTTAGGGGCCCTGTGGAATGGCCCTCCGGAGCTGACTGCTGGGCTTCCTGTCTTGACATGTGCTCTCTGTCATATTCATACACATACTCACGCAGTGACATTGACGTCGTGGTTATAAAAGGTTCAGTGTTTCTGTTCTGACCTGTGACGACCAGAGAGACCTGTTATTTTTGGAAAAGTTAAAAGGAAAACTCCATTCAAAGAAAAAACATAGCTGGGCCTGGTGGCTCACGCCTGTATTTCCAACTGCCCGGGAGGCCAAGGCAGGAGTGTCTCAAGTTCAAGGCCAGCCTTAGCAGCTTAGTGAGACTTGATTCAAAATTAAAAAAAAAATAAAAAATAGAGGACTGGGAGGCTGTCCTGGAGCATTTGCATAGCATCTGTATGCAGGAAGGCTCTGGATTCAATTTCTAATACTGTAAGAAAAAAAGAAAGCAAAAAGAAAAATCCTGACCATTTTTAATGCTTTATAAGCTAACAGATGATCTAAGATCTGCAGAGAGATTTGTAAATTTCCTGATTTGGGGACAGCACTAGTACAAAGCTTTGTTAGATAGTTGAAGAGAGTTATACTTGAAGGTAATGTGCTGAAAACATGGACTGTCTTCATTTAGTCGAACACTCCTATTTAGTCGAACATTCCCTGCTTTTCTCTCCAGTATACAGACACTTAGAAGACAGTTTTTGAGTTGGTAGCTAGAGCTAGCACAGCTTTGCTTCACATCAAATGTTATTATATTTATTTTAATGTTACTTTTAAAGATCTGAAATACATAATTTCCTGGGTAAGACATATTTTTGGACTAACATCTGTAGCTCTGCAGTAGAGGTTGACATTTTGCTGATTTCAAAATCTGGGCTACAGCTGTTTAAAATAATGAGCACATCCTGATGTGAGGGACAGTGCAAGTTTTGCATCATGAAATTTAGTTTGCTATAAACATTACCCACTTGGGAGTAAAGGCTCCTCTGCCCAGTCGGGGTTCACTGTACACTCAGTGGCTGCTTTCCATTTTTCTTTTTCTTCCCATTATTGACTGAGATGCTCTGTTTGGTTGTAAAAACATTCTTTCTATGTGAGAGAGAACACCTTAACTAACCTTAAAGAATGCAATGAATTTTTGGTAGGCAGCTATGCACAGGGAATGTGAAAGATGAGAGCCAGTCCAAATATTTTCTTATTAATGAATTTGGCTATTGACGGGCAGTGATCTCTTCTACAAACCCTTCTACACAAAGCAAAGTGACAGTTAATGGGGTCATCCTGGAATCTCTCCAAGAATTGTTTATTTCCAATAATAATTGGTCCAAACCAGAGCATATCACACTCCCATGTAAATGCATCCCTGGTGCAGAAAACACAGCTTCCCTAAGTCCTGTGTTTAGGAAAAAAATAGTTTCTGTTACTTCAGCCAGTTTTCAACATTACTAACACACTTAAACTATTAGATAAGGGATTATGATGTACCTAAGTGACAGCTGCTAGCAGATCCGCTTGTTGTGATATCCAGAGAAGAATGACTTTCAATTTTTAAGAGCTTTTGAAGTCACTCGAGTAGCACTTAGATTGATTTGCAGAAAGATAAATTTGTAATTTCTCAAACAGAACTTATGCTGTGAAACTATTAGGACTTTTTGGGTTTTGTGGAAACCAAGCAACCCAGGTTGTGTAAGTTCTACCATTGGCATTATGGGCCACAGATTACTCAAATTCAGTTTATTACTTTTTACATCACATTGGAAATGGTTCAAATTAATTTTTTTTGCTTGTGTGTTTTAGAAAACATTTTTAGCTGTATTTTGTGGAAATAATTTGAATTTTACATTTTAATTTTTCAGATATGATGTTGATTCAAAGAGTCCCAATTTGTCCAAACATGTAAGTTCATATTTTTATGATTGTATACTTTTAACTTATTATTTATGCGAATTTATTGATTATGACTTTCATGACTTTTCATGTGATGTGATTTTCATAGAAAATAAGTAACATTTTTAAAGAGCTTTAGAATCACATTTAGAATGAGATTATTAAAAGGAAATTCCTTCAGTTGGTAGAGTAGATCAAGCTTTCAAATTGTACTTATTTAAGTAGCAGTTCTGTTGAATGTTAGATCTGAGTGGAGTGAGGCTGGTGTTTTGGAGGCTTCAGAGTGGAGCGACTGGGAAGGACTTGGGCTCCAGGCAGAGCCTCTGCTGTCCTGCCTCCTCGCAGTTACCCACTCAGTGGCCGTGTGCAGCGCTCCTCAGGCCAGTCACATGCCAGCTTCTGAGTGTTGCAAGCCACGTGTGTTCTCAGGTTTGTACATGCCTGTCCGTCACAAACTCCGCTCTCCAGACCTTAGCACTGACTGTGGTAGTCTTTGCAGTTTAGGAGCAGTAGAGGGCCAGAGCTTGGCAGGTTCACAGGCAGGGAGGCTGGGGATGAGGCATTCCGGCAGGACATCTGCCTGTTTATTGATGTGTAGGAGCAAAGTCAGACCTGACCAAATAGCAAGGTGTATTAGTTCCTTTTCTGTTGCCATGATAGGTGTTCTGACTAAAAGCAGAGTACAGGAGGACAGGTTCCATAGTGATCCAGTCCATCCTCAGGGGCTAGGCACAGCAGCAGGAGCTTGATGCTGGGCTGGCAGTCAGGACACAGTGATCCTAGTTCATTCACAGACAGGAAGCAGAGAGGAGGAACAGGAAGTTGACAGGGCTATAAAATCTCGAGGCCTGCCCCTCAGATGTTCTTTTTCCAGTAAGGCTCCACTTCCTAAATGTTCCATAACCTTTCCAGACAGTGTCAACAACTGGATACCAAAGGGGACATTTCTCATTCAAACCACGGCAAAAGGACTGAATGAATGAGGGCCAGGACGGTGTTTTGAAGGGGACTTGTTCAGCAAGGTTCCAAGTGCAGTCTGAGTCCACAGATTAGAGCTGGTCGTCAAGGTCGGGAGGCTGGCTGAACCGACATTGTCATAGGCTGTTCAGTGGACTAGATGGACATGCAACATCCACTTAGCTTATAGAGAAAGGTATCGGTTTTCATGAGAAAGAACTTAAGTGGTGATGACAAGCTTGGAGAAGGATTTGGGGGAAATCCGAGTGAAAAAAATAAACCACAATTTTTTTTCTTCAGTTCATTAGAGTAAGTATACTATTTATTTGCGTGATAGAGCAGAGTAGTATCATGTGGATAAATACTCCAAGGAGCATCTGCCTAAGTGGTTAACTTTGTATAAATTGAAACGGTGCAATGAGAGGCTGCTTTTCTCCTTCAGTGAAGTTCAGTGTGGTCACCTTCCTGCTCTTTAGGACAGATTTATCAAATTGTGACTAGAAATTTAAAATGTTCTAACATAGCTTTCTATCTGCAGTTTTCTAAATGTCCTTGGAAGAATCAAGATGTGACCATATTTTATAGGCATAATTATTTTGTTAAAATGAAAGAACTGTATCCACTATCACATGGCAGGGGTTCATTAAATGACTGAGAGTCTGGATGTGAGGAGGAGCTTGACTGGCAGGTCCTGGGGCTGGAACCTGATTGGGCTGGGACCGTAGTAGGTCTTCTGCTTGCTCCCTCTGAAGCCACATGACCTTCCTATTCTGTCCTTTCTCTGAGCTTCTGTTCTCCAAAGACCAAATGTTTGTTTATTAATCATGATGCACATGGGAACATGGCCTCCCAACACTTATGGGACATAATTTCTGAGTCACACTTCTGCTGGAATGTAATTTCGATGGGGTTTTCTTTTGTCCTTTTTTAATGCAAGTTATGTGGATTTTATATGCTATGTACTGGTCATATGTAGACCCCTCGATCAGTATCCCTCATTACCCCCTCCCATCAGGTTCCGTGCATTCTGTCCATATATGTTAAGGTCTATCGAGCCAAGTTAGTATCCCCAAATGTCCCTTGGTCTGAGTCTACCTACTGGAGCCTGGTCAAGCCTCTCTCCTCTCCAATGAGTCCTCATTTGTCAGTAGTTTCTTAGCTAAGTTGGGGTGTGCTGGGATTTTGTTTGCTTGATGTTGATCTTGTGCATGCTGTTATCATTGCTGTAAGTTCCTATGAGCAACTTCTCAGCCACCTGGAAAACTCTGTTTCCTTGTGGCCCTCCATCACCTCTGGCTCGTACAATCTTTCTGCCCTTGCTTCTGCAATGGCCCCTGAGCCCTGAGTGGCAGAGGTCTGATACAGGTGTCTACCCAGGGACAAGCACTTCGCAGTCCCTTATACTCTGCTTTTTGGCCAGTTGTAGATTTCTGCGTTAATCACACTGTTGCATGAGGAAGCTTTGCTGATGAAATTAAGAGATGCATTCATATTCTTTCTGACCTCTGCTTTGCTCCACTGTGTTCCCTGAGCCTTAGCTGTAGAGGTTGCATTGTAGATGTGCCACTTAGGGCTGGGAATAGACAAGAATAAGTCTCACACACACTTATTCTCTTCATTTGACTAATTATAGAACTCCATAGTAGTCTCCATCTGTTTTAAAAAGAAGCTTTTTAGATGCATGGTTATATGTATATTTCTCTGTAACTATAAAGATACGTATTTAGAATACATTAAGAAATTACAGTGGTCCAGGAATGTGACAAAAAATAGGTTTTTCTCTAGGATCTATAACCTTTCCAACCATGTGTATTTGGTATGTTTACAGTACCACACATGAGTTTCTTCCCATTCAGTGGGCCTTAAGTCTAATTAGACAACTGTTGATAACCCCAAAATAAAAATGTCACTACTGCACCCAAGAGAGATAATTTACTAGGCCACAACATTGTTGTGTTTATTAGGCTTTACAGCTAGATAGGCCATTGATTGGTTTTCTCCCTTGGCAGTTTGTACAGTATCCTCTGATACCATTAGAGCTCATCTTCAGGGAGGAGGCTTCAGGTCAGTTCCAACTCCACTGGTCCAAGTCCTGTGTCTAAAATATGTTCTTTCTTCAGCAATATGGTTTTATCTTTGAGTTCTGGGTGGCAATCAAGGACTGTGATAATAGCCTATGTTATTTTATGAGTCTCTTGGACTACCATGATCAACAGTTGAAAGGGTAGTTCTCCTGCCTGGCACTGTGTTTTTTGTTTTATAGTCTCCAACTATAATTATGCACACGTGCACTGATTATCTACCTATCTATCTATCTATTTATCTGTCTGTCTATCTATCTATCTATCTATCTATCTGTCATCTATCTCTATAATGTACTTTAAATTCATCTATCTATCTCTATCTATCTATCTATCTATCTATCATCTAT